AAATGCTAAAGGGTCTACTGTAAAAATAAAGAAATAGGAAGCAAAGAAGGAACACAGGGGTATAGAATAAAAATGGCATCAAATGAGTACCTATCATTAATAACATTAAATGTAAATGGTTTAAATGCTCCAATCAAAAGACATAGGGTAACAGATTGGATAAGAAAACAAGACCCATACATCTGTTGTCTACAAGAAACCCACCTCAGAAAAAGAGATGTACACAGACTGAGGGTGAAGGGATGGAAAAAGGTTTTCCAGGCAAATGGAAATGAAAAGAAAGCTGGGGTAGCAATACTTATATCTGACAAATTAGATCTCAGAGTGAAGGACATAATAAGAGACAATGAAGGCCACTTCATAATACTAAAGGGAGCAATCAAACAAGAAGAAATAACCCTGGTAAATATATATGCACCCAATACGGGAGCACCCAAATACATTTAAAAAAACTGCTGGAGAACATTAAGGGAGAGATTAACAGCAATACAATCATAGTAGGAGATTTTAATATCCCACTGTCACCCTTCGACAAATCATCTAAACAAAAAATCAGCAAAGAAATATCAATCCTAAATGACTCACTAGACCAGATGGAATTAATTGACATCTTCAGAACATTCCACCCCAAAGCCACAGAATATACATTCTTCTCAAATGCACATGGGACATTCTCAAAGATAGACCACATTTTGGGACATAGGCAAAGTCTCTTCAAATTCAAGAAGATAGAAATCATATCAAGCATCTTCTCAGACCATAATGGCATAAAACTGGAAATTAACTACAATAAAAATAATCCAAAGAAATCAAACACATGGAGACTAAACAGCATGCTATTAAACAAGGACTGGGTTACCAGAGAAATCAAGGAAGAAATTAAAAACATCCTGGAAACAAATGACAATGAAAACACAACAATCCAAAATCTATGGGACACAGCAAAAGCAGTTTTGAGAGGGAAGTTCATATCCTTACAAGCCTATTGCAAAAAACTAGAAAAAAGTGTAACAAATGATCTAACTTAGGGGTGTCGAACTCAATCAGAGAAGGGGCCAAAATCTAAAATCCAGCCTAAATTGCGGGCCGAATGGTTTACTGAACAGTCATAAACTGTCATTGTGATGGAACGCAGCGGAGTGCAGTGATGACAGCGCGGTGCGGGCCACATTGCAAGGCCTGGCGGGACAAATTTGGCCCGCGGGCCTTGTGTTTGACATGTGTGATCTAACTCTACAACTCAAAGAGTTAGAAAAAGAGCAACAAGAAAAGCCCAGTGTAAGTAGAAGGAAGGAAATAACAAAAATCAGAGCACAGATAAACGACATAGAGACCAAAGAAACAATACATAAGATCAACAAAACCAAGAGCTGGTTCTTTGAAAGGATAAACAAGATAGATGGACCTCTAGCCAGACTAACCAAGAAACAAAGAGAAAGGACCCAAATAAACAAAATCAGAAATGAAAGAGGTGAAGTAACAACAGACCCCACCGAAATACAACGGATTGTTACAAAATACTATGAACAACTCTACTCCAACAAACTGAACAACCTGGAGGAAATGGACATATTCCTAGAAAAATATAATCTTCCAAAACTCAATCAGGAAGAATCTAAAAATCTCAATAAACCAGTGACTTGGGAAGAAATTGAAACAGTCATCAAAAAGCTTCCAGCAAACAAAAGCCCAGGGCCAGATGGCTTCACAGGAGAGTTTTACCAAACATTCAAGGAAGAACTAAAAACTATCCTCCTCAGACTATTCCAAAAAATCCAAGAGGAAGGAACACTTCCAAATTCCTTCTCTGAAGCCAGCATCACCCTAATACCAAAACCAGATAAAGACAGCTCAATGAAAGAGAATTACAGGCCAATATCCCTCATGAACATAGATGCCAAAATCCTCAACAAAATTCTAGCAAATCGACTCCAGAAGAACACCACAAAGATCATACACCACGACCAAGTAGGATTTATTCCAGGAATGCAAGGATGGTACAATATCCGCAAATCAATAAATGTGATACATCACATAAACAAATTGAAAGATAAAAATCATATAATCATATCAATTGATGCAGAAAAAGCATTCGATAAAATCCAACACCCTTTTCTGATAAAAACTCTTAACAAGGTGGGAGTACAAGGATCATACCTCAACATAATAAAGCTATGTATGATAAACCCACAGCCAACATCATACTCAATGGGAAAAAACTAAAACCATTCCCTCTAAGAACAGGAACAAGACAGGGATGCCCACTCTCGCCACTCCTGTTTGACATAGTACTGGAAGTACTAGCCATTGCAATTAGATAAGAGGAGGAAATAAAAGGCATCCAAATTGGAAAAGAAGAAGTAAAGTTATCCTTATTTGCAGATGACATGATATTGTACATAAAAAACCCAAAAGACTCCATTAAAAAACTAATTGACTTAATAAATGAATTTGGCAATGTAGCAGGATACAAAATTAATGCCAAGAAATCCATGGCTTTTCTATACACCAACAGAGAAACTGCAGAAACAGAGACTAAAAAAGCAATTCCATTTACCATCGCACCAAAAAAATTAAGATACCTAGGAATAAATTTAACTAAGGAAGTAAAGGACCTATATGCGGAAAACTACACGACACTGAAAAAAGAGATAGAGGAAGATGTAAGGAGATGGAAGTACATACCATAAGACATTTTGGGGGGCTAGCAATCTGAATTTGTCCCAGTAACATGCCTGCTGTTGCACAATCTTTCGAGCTGATAATTAACTCCATTTGAGAAAGAATACAGGAGACCAGCGGCCAGACCTTGTACCCTCACATGTGCATTCTTGGAGTCCTGCCCCTTCCTTAGTTATCTGATCTATTTAGCTAAATACATCCAGCCTACAGGGGCCCAAACCAAGGACCGAACAGCTTAGCTAGAGGGAGGTCACCAGAGCCATCCAGGGTGGAATTAGATACAATCTAAGTTAACCATCGAACTGATTCTCTGGGGGGGGGGGGGGGGGGGGGGGCCGTGGAGGAGGGGACAGGACAGGGAGGGGTGCTGTGAGAGTCCACTACAGAAGCCAGTAGTTAGGAAACAGAGAAACTCAGGAATCTATGCTAATAAAAGGGTAATATGCAAATTGTTAGGATGTCCTCCCAGTAACAATGGAACAGCAGGCTGTGTGGGGCTACCAGGCCTGCTGGGGTGGGGTAGGGGTGGGAGTGAGAGGCAGTGAGGGGTGACCAGGCCAGCAGAGGGGGGCAGTTGGCGACAACCAGGCCAGCGGGAGGTGGGGTGGGCAGTGAAGAGTGACCAGGCTGGAAGAGAGGGGCAGTCAGGGGCAACCATGTCGGCAGGGGAGGGGAGGGGGCGGGCGCAGTTGGGGGCTACCAGGCTGGCGAGGGGTGGAGTGCAGTTAGGAGCCAGTAGTCCAGGATTGAGTGGGAAGTCTGACTGCCAGTTTAGGCCAGATCCGGCCTAAACCAGTAGTTGGACATACCCTTGGGGGTCCCCGACTGGAGGGTGCAGGCTGGGCTGAGGGGGACTCCCCCCTGCATGAATTTCGTGCACTGGGCCTCTCTCTAGTATATACACTGAGTGGCCAGATTATTATGATCTCTGAACACATAATAATCTGGCCACTCAGTGTGTGTGTGTGTGTGTGTGTGTGTGTGTGTGTGTGTGTGTATGTTTTTTCCTTTTCCAAACTTTTATTTGTGCATATTCAATTGAAAAAGATAACTTTTACAGGTTCTTTGGTGCCCGTATTCAGCTTACAAAAATGTAAAAGACTATTCACAAATAAAGCACATTAGCTCAAACTGGAAAAAACAACAAGAAAACAATTCAAGGTAGTGCACACTGTGCCAGCTCTGCTTATGGGGACATGAGAATTACTGCGAAAATAAATAGAGATGTTCTTATGTAAAAGCAGCAGTGTCATGTCTTGTAAACTTCCTTTTTATATTACAGCAAAGTTTGAAATAAAATCCAAAGGGACTGGAGCTTTTTACACTGTAGCCGTGAATGAATAAAAGAGTCTGTTTTCTCAATTATTGTTGGTCCAGTTTCCTTTTGTTTTGAGTCCAATGTGCAGCAGGTTTTAAGAGGTTGGGGATTCTAACCAATTAAGTGATGAATTAATCTCTTTCCTGCTTTCAAACACGAATGGGTAAATCTGTTCCACGGCAGTAGGACAGCCTTTACATCGGGCCCTGTTACTGTGATAGCATGCGTTCAGAGATCATCATCATCTGGCCACTCCGTGAATAAGGAGGAAGTCTCATTGTCTAAGGGGTTCAGGATCTGGGTCTTAGGGTCCCGTGAGTCAGCAGCGGCCCAGTGGCGTAGCGAGGGGGGTGCCGAGGGGGCCATGGCCCCGGGCGGCGTATCAAAAGGGGCGGCGGCAATCACCATGATATTTAAATTTAAAAAAATATAACTGCAAATCGCGCCCGCGCTGATTCAAGCCAAGCAGACCACGCGGGTGCGGAAAGGGGGGCAGGTGAAGCAGGTGGTGCAATAGAAATTTTCGCAGACGTTTTTAAATGGGGGGCGGCAAATTTCCGGTCGGCCCCAGGCGACGAAAGCCCACGCTACGCCACTGAGCAGCGCTGCTTTTCCTGAAACCTCCGCGTGTCCAACTGCCTCTTCCGTGCCAATTCCGTAAACTCCACATTCCATAGAAGTGGCGAGAAGTCGGGTCTGGCCGTGTCCTCCCCGGTGCCCACCCTCCCAGCCCTGGGGGGTCCCCAAGCAGTCACCAGAGAGCCGGGGCAGGGGCCGCCGTGGGGACTGTGCTGTACGCTGCTCGCGCTCAGCCACGGATACACCCTGAGCACAGAGCCTGGGACCCCAAAACATCCCTACCCATGCGGCTCCGGACTGCGGGGCGGGTGCAGCTTCCCTCCGGACTCTGGAACTCAGACTCCGTCCTGCCCCCCCTCCCCTATCTTGCCCCCTCCTGGCTGATGGGGTCTTCCCTCCCCTAATCCCGCCGAGCACCCACCGGTGTGCCGAGGAGGAGGAGTGGTGGCGGCAGCAGGAGCGGCAGCAGGAGCGGCGGCAGGAGCGGCAGCAGCAGGAGCAGCAGTAACATATTCATAGACTTCCAGGCCATGTTACTCCTCTGAGCCAGGCGGGCACTTCCTTGCTTTTATAGGACGGTGACACCCGCCCTCCACACACACACCCCGCCCCTTTCCAGCTTTCAGACCACGCCTTACCTTTTATTGTCACAGCCTACCGGTGCCTCCCCACATCCTTCCTGCCTCTGGACCGGCTTACCCGCCCCTGTAAACGCAAGCTGGGGTTTACACAAACATCTGGGACGCAGACTAGCATGCCCAGGCCAAGAATAATATCCCGGGCCTCAGGCGTCAAACACAGAATCCAGACTTGTATCCTGGGTGTACTTCTCAGTTTGTAACCCAGACCACCATTTCCACAACCCAGAGGTCCAGTGAGGTACCAGACCGCCCCCAGGGGCCCAGACGACCCTCCCTGGCCCCAAAGGCCCTCCCAGGACCCAGACTTCCCTCCTGATCGCAGACCATATGTCAAGGATCAGAAGACCATTCCTGGGACCCATGCAAGCAGATTGCCTATTCCTTAATTGGAGGCCAAATAGCCAGGCTAGTCCTGACCACCATTTCATCATCCCGAGGGTTGTCCTTGTCCCAATCTCACACCTGGGCCCATAGCATCTCCTAGTGACCATACCATGCTTGAATACCCAGATCTACATCCAGGGCTCAGACCTACATCCGGGTCCCTGACTTCATGTCGGGGCCTAGTAGGCCCACCCGGGGCCCAGGCCACAAACCTGGAACACAGAGTTGTATCAGGGAATGAGATCTCAATGGGAAACCCCAACAACTTTTCCATAACCCAGATGCTCAGGTGAGGTACCAGACCGCCTCCGTGACTCAGACTTCCCCCATGCCCGAACTGCCCTCAGAGGACCCAGACCTCCAGCCTGGGCTCACACCTACATCTGGGAACCAAACTATCATGGTAGGGCCGTTAAGATTATCCTGAGGCCCAGGCCTCAAAAACAGAATCCAGGTGAGACCACCCCCAAGGACCCAGAAGTCCTTCTGGGCCCCAAAGGTCTTCCTAGTACCCAGACATTCATCCAGGGCTCAGACCTACAGCCTGATTGCCCCAAACTGCCCTCTCCTGTTGGCCTGGTCACCCCTAACTGTCTTCTTCTACTGCCCTAGTCTTCCCCAACTGCCTTCCTCTGCTGGCCTGGTCATCCCAACTGCCCTCCAATCAGGCTTTGTCCCTCCCAACTGCCCTCCCCTGCTGGCCATCTTGTGGCAGCCATCTTGTGTCCACATGGGGCAGCTGTCTTTGAGCACATGGGGGCAGCCATCTTGTGTGTTGTAGTGACTGTCAATTTGCATATTACCCTTTTATTAGGATATGCTAATGTTGCTCAACCACTCGCTAATATGTGCTCTGAGACTAGGGGGCAGATAGTCAACTGGTCGACCAGTTGCTATGACATTCACTGACCACAAGGGGGCAGATGCTCCAATTTGTAGGTTAACTTGCTGCTGGGATCAGGCCAATCTGGACTGAGCAAGATGGGTCAGACAAGCCCTGGAGCCCTTCCCACAGTCCCTCCTGAGCCTATCATGCACGATGGGGTCCCTCAGCCCGTGCACCCTCTCGCAATCTGAAACCTCTCGGGGTATGCCAGAGAGCTGGTTTCAGCCCAATCCCACAGGCCACTCCTCTTGGGAAGGTGCCAGAAGCAGGGCTCATGGCTGGTGAGCACTGTTGCGGCAGCTCGAGCCTCTCCTGATCGGGACTGATTGGGGCAAGCCCAAGGCAGGCACAGTGGGGCCAGGATGAGCGGGAGCGGCAGGAAGGAGCTGCAGGCAGTGTAGGACTGCAGGTTTCGGCCAATCCCTGCCACCCAGGCATCCATTGGTGAATGAATTTGTGCATCAGGACTCTAGTACCCTACCTAATGACAGAGTAATATGTAAATTAACCATCCCCCTGCTATACCCACCAGCCACGCCCACCAACCAATCAGAGTGGGTATGCAAATTAACCCTAACCAAGATGAGCAGTTAAGAGGCTTGGGTTCCCCGGCAATAGAGGAAGCCGCGCTTTCCACACACCCTGGCCGGCCTAGGCCTCCACTCAAGGATTCAAAGTTTCAATTATAGAAGATAAATCCCAAGAAAAATGGCAGCCACAAAGTTGGAGAGAGCAGGCTAGGTTTTCCTCCGGCAACAGGGGAAGCCAAGTTTTCCACCTGCCCTGGCCCGCCTAGGCCTCCACTCCAGGCTACAAAGTTTCAATTATAGAAGGTAAATGAGTGTGCAAGAGGTTTGGCTCTACTCCAGGCTAGAAAGTTTCAATTGTAGAATCTAAAGAAATTTCAGATACCAGGACCTACACTTGGGTTGCTGGGAGGTGTGGCTGCCCTGCAAACCACCAAAGACCCCTCTCCCAGGCTGCCCCATGCCCCAAGGGAACCCCATTCTGATCTGGGACACCCTTCAGGGCAAACCAGCTGGCCCCCACCCATGCACCAGGCCTCTATCCTATCTAATAAGAGTAATATGCAGATTGACCATCACTCCAACACACAAGATGGCTGCCCCCATATGGTCAAAAATTCTGCCCCCATGTGGACACAAGATGGCTACCACAAGATGGCCAGCAGAAGAGGACAGTTGGGAGGCAGCAGGCCTGCAAGATAGTGCAGTTGAGAGGGACCAGGTCTGTAAGGGAGGGCAGTTGAAGGCAATCAACTCTGCAGGGGAGGGCAGTTAGGGGTGACCAGGCCAGCAGAGGAGGGAAGTTTGGGGGCAAAAGGGCTAGCAGGGGAGCAGTTAGACATCAATCAGGCTGGCATAGGAGTGGTTAGGGGGTGATCAGGTTGGCTGGCAGAAGTGGTTAGGGGCAATCAGGAAGGCAGGCAGGCGAACATTTGGGAGCCAGCAGTCCTAAATTGTGAGAGGAATGTCCAACTGCCTGTTTAGACCTGGGATCGGGTCCCAGATTGGAGAGGGTGCAGGCTGGGCTGAGGGACACCCCACCCACCCCGTGCACAAATTTCATGCACTGAGCCTCTAGTATATAATAATAACAACACTGATATTGGTAATCAAATGATTGCTCATAATCACATCCTCAAGTTTATCTTTAGCACATTAATGAAAAGGAGTAATAGAATCAGGCAATACGCAAATCTGGTAAGGTCATTTATGATTAAAGACTTCTAAGTCCACAATTTATAAAAAGTTATCTGCCTAATGTTATCAAGGCCCTCAGAGAAACCAATGAAAAGGAGGATTTATTTATTTAGTTATTTATTTTGTGTGTGTGTGTGTGTGTGTGTGTGCGCGCGCGCTTTATAGTTTATAAAGTGATTTCATGCTTTCACATGGTACACTTGACCTCTGAGGGGTGAGTGGTCAATAGGGTCTGAGACCAGATAGTGTCCCTTGCCAGCTATGGGACCTCACCCAAGTCATGGAACCCATGTTCTTTTATTTTTTTTTAATATATATTTTATTGACTTTTTACAGAGAGAAAGGGAGAGGGATAGAGAGCTAGAAACATCGATGAGAGAGAAAACCGACCAGCTGCCTCTTGCACAGCCCGCAACCAATGTACATGCCCTTGACCAGAATCGAACCTGGGACTCCTCAGTCCGCAGACCGATGCTCTATCCACTGAGCCAAACTGATTTCGGCTATTTATTTATTTATTCAACAAATATTAATTGAGTATCTGCCAGGTGCTGTGCTGCTAAACACTGAGGAAAATTGTCAAACCATATGAAATTGCTAATAGTTAAGTATTTTTGACTTACAAAAATGGCAATTTCTTGTAGTACAACCTAAGAAAATTACAGAAATTCCTTAGAGAGGGAAAAGAAATAAAAGAGTTGAAAATCATAAAAAAAAAAAACACACAAAAATTTCCAAAATGATATTTTGAAAGAAATAAGATGGAATGAAAGGAAAACAACAAGACAGAACTGGAAAATGGAGGAAAGGGAACATATAAACAAAAATTGAACAATAAAAACATAAAAACTAATAAAGTATTAATAATTAATGTAATTCATACAGTATTTATTGAATGTCCAACACTATGTAGATAATTTCATAGTAGGCACAATATGTATCTCAAAAGAAAAAATACTTCATTCTTTTTAAAGATGAAAGACATATCAAAGTTCCCTATATTTTTAAAATTCTGAGGATAAAGAGAAAAAAAATAATGAAGCAATGGGAGAGCTAAAACAGGGAAAATAGCAGCAGATTTATGTATATAAATTCAACACAAATCCAAGGAGATAATAAAAATGGGAATAGAGTCCTAATAACAGAAAAAAGATTTTGCAGCAATGTCCATGACACAAGAATGAAAAGTATACATCAAGTTATCAGAGTAGAGAGGCCAATAAAGGTAAATCTAGAAATGTTTAATATATCTTTTGTGACATAGAAAATTTTATTAATTTTACATTTTGAAAATTGTGGCTGAACAAATTATAAAATACATAATTTGTGTATATAGACAAATTCTAAAATTTAGATTTAAAAAAAAATATATTTTATTGATTTTTTTTACAGAGAGGAAAGGAGAGGGATAGAGAGCTAGAAACATCGATGCGAGAGAATCATCAACCAGCTGCCTCCTGCACATCCCCCACCGGGGATGCACCACAACCCAGGTACATGCCCTTGACAGGAATCGAACCCTGGACCCTTCAGTTCACAGGCCGACGCTCTATTCACTGAGCAAAATTGGTTTTGGCTAAAATTTAGATTTTTAAATTTATATTTTGATATGACTAATTTCCTTTTAATTAACATTTATATATATAAAAGCCTAAACAACTGGCTGACAGGCTGACCTGTTGGTAGCTATGATGTACACTGACCACCAGGGGGCAGATGCTTAATGCAGGAGTGGAAACAACAGGCATGGAAACACAGAACAGACTGATGAATCTCAGAGGAAAGGGGAAAGGGGAAAAGAGAAAGGGGAAAGAGGGGAAGGGGAGGGCAAGAAGAGTTTAACTAAAAATCTTATATGCTTACTAGAGGCCTGGTGCATGGATTTGTGCACGGGTAGGATCC